TCCTCCATGAGCCCTTGAAGCCCCATGTTGTCTCAATTCATGTCCTAAACCAAAAGTCTCCCAGTGTTAGCACCCAAAGGAGAGGAGGTCTGGCATTTCCAGTGCCCAAATCACCCTTGTGTACATGCTTTACTTAGTTCTAATAGTATTCTTTTGCTAATAATACAATGACACATAACAGGTGTGTGTGTATGTATGTATATATATATATATATATATATATATATATATATATATATATGGTTTTGTTTTGGCTCAGAGTTTGGTCCAAGGGTGAGGGCCACATCAGAGGATGCTGACCTTCTGGAGTGTCCTAGAGTGGCACCAGTCATTGTTGGAAAGAGACAGACAACACATAATTCTGTCTCTGCTGGCCTCTCTCCTTCTATGAAGCCTTCAGGATTCAATCATGGGACTCTATCCTGATGACCTCTCAAAGGCTGCACTTTATATATTGAATGTCTGCAGAAGCGAAGGGGACACACATATTTTTGATCTCCAGGATTCTGTAATCTGTTAAGCAAGGGATGATAAACAGATGACATGGTGGCAAACAGTGATAAAGGATGAATTGGGACAAGGATGTCATTTCAGATGAGGTGGTCAGGCAAGGCCTGATCTAAGGAGGGGACATCTGAGCAGTAAGCCAGTGTGTGTGTGTGTGTGTGTGTGTGTGTGTGTGTGTGTGTACAGCTAGTGCAAAGGCCTCAAGACAAGAACAAGATGAGCCTCCAGGGTGGACCGCTGGAGGTCAACATGCTGAAATAGAGTCTGTAGCTGGAAGTGGTAACTACTGAGTTGTGCAAGATCAGAGTAAGGTCAAGATAGCTTAGGTAGGGTCATTCTGGTACCCTAAGGACTTGGGAATGTAAGTGTGACTGGAATCCGTTGTAGCTGTGGAGTTTGGTGGGACAGGGTATGACTCAGCTTTGAAAAGATCACCCGGCTCACCGTGGCTGCTGAGGAGAGAATATGGAGTGAAAGTAGACGGAGCAGCAAGGGCAGTGTCTTGCTACTGGTAACCCTGACTTGAATGCTGTCAGAGCAATCTCCTGAGGGAGATTAAAAAATGCCTACCCCTCCTCCTAAGGTCCCAGTGACAAACCAAGGTGGGGACCTATGAGTTTACTAGGCTTACTTACAGAGCAATAGGCAAGGGGTTACCAGAAGGAGCATGGGTGACATTAAAACAGCCACATTGGACAGACACCTTGCATTCAGCATGGATGATGACTCCACACATCTGTGTAGACCGAGGTCCCTCTTCTATTCTGTTACCACCTATATATTCTCTAATCTTTCCCAAAGACCCCAAGGCTGCATTCAATCAGGGTAGAATTGTATCCAATAGGGCAGGGAAGGCTATATACATAGGTAAGGGTTTTATGACTACCCCAATACCCATTCTTTCTATGAGGAAACATCAGCAGTCAACAAGCCCAGCTATGCTGATCTTTCTCTAGCAAGCACAGCCAAATTCCTGAAGGCAGCTAAAGTTCAGGAAAGCTGGGTGTTGGTAGTGCATGCCTTTAATCCCAGCACTTGGTAGGCAGAGGCAGGTGGATCTCTGTGAGTTTGAGGCCAGTCTGGTCTACAGAGCTAGTTCCAGGACAAGTCTCCAAAGCAATGCAGAGAAACCCTGTCTTGAAAATAACCAAGTTATGTACAATACTTTTAAATTATATTTATTTATTTATTACCATTATTATTATTATTGGTTTTTTGACACAAGGTTTCTCTGTATAGCCCTGGCTGTCCTAGAACAGGTCTGTAGACTAGCTTGGCCTCGAACTCACAGACATCTGCCTGCCTGCCTCTGCTTCCTGATTGCTGATAAGGTTTAAAGGCATGTACTACCAAGGTCTGGCTATACTTTTTTTAAAATCAATAATCTTATTAATCATTGTGTGTATATGCATGCGCACACACACACATCATAGCACACACATGGAGGTCAGTCCTCTCCTGCAATGGAAGTTAAGGGATTGAAGTTAAGTCATCAGACATCAGACTTAGTGGCTTGCATCCTTAGCCACTGGGCTATCTTGCCAGCCCTAGCCTTCTTTTGAAAAACATCAACAAAAGTCCCTCTTATCTCCTTTGTGGTTAGCAGGGACTGCTATGTTACAGGGGGCTGAGAAGGACTATGTGCACGCTCCTGTGATATGGGCTTGGGAGAAGGAGACTGGAGGATCAGAAGTTCAGTCAAGGTCATCCTCTCTTAGAGAGTGAGTTGGATGCCAGACTGGACTAGATGAGACCCTATCTCACAAAACCAAACCAGGGGCTGAGAAGATGGCTCAGCAAATAAAAGTGCTTGCTGTCCTTCCAGAGGACTTGTGTTCTGTTCCTGACACTCATATAGGATGGCTCATAACCACCTGTCACCAACAGGGGCTGCCATCTTCTGATCTCTGAGGGTGTAGATTCTCAAGGGGCATATACCCACACCCATACATATAAAAAAAATTAAAGAAAACCAAACCAACCAGAAAACACCTCCACCACCAACAAAACTATAACAGAATCCACACAGATTATATACACACGCTAATACCTTTAAATAGGACATAAGTAATAAATAGAAATGAATATCAAAGTAGAGGGCATCTATATCACATAGAGCATTTCTAGGAAGTATCTTTCTTAGGACTTTATGAATGTCTTCAGGTTACACAGTCCTTCGTAGTGTTAACTGCTGTCCCCTTTGCAGACAGGCATAGAGAAGGTATTTGTCCCTGGTCCCACAGGTAGTAAATGGCAGAGCCAAGAGTCAGCTCCCACCTCTGTCTTTCAAACCAAGATGCTCACACCAGACACTGAGCCAGCTTCCTGGCCTCTGACACAGGACACTGAACACACCTAACTGCTGCTGATGCCAGCACCTGCCCAGTAGGTGCTCCTGCCGTGGCTCTTGCTCTGTCAGGGCTGGCACCACACCCACTCTTTCTCGAACACTTCTTGGCCAGCCGTCAGCAGTTCTCATCTGTTCTTTGTCTGGACCCTGCTCAGGCTGTTGCCGGCCCTGGAGCACTTTGTCCTTTCTACTAATGTCCTGAGGTCAACTTTGCCTCCTCTCATTGACACACACACACACACACACACACACACACACACACACACACACACACACACAGAGGCCTTTTTTGGTGTAGGGCTCTCTCCACGAGCCGGGCCTCACTGCCATTTGTTACGAGTTGCTTTGAACGCTCTGGAGTGTCATATTTTCCACGCTTATGTTGAAGCAGGCCACGTGTCTCTTCAGCTGAGAGATGAAGGCCAGGGGTGAACATGACAGACAGCAGTAGCCTGATCTTTCCAGAAACATGGAGCCAGAGGGCAAGTGTCCCTGCCCCTTTGGCATTGACTCCTTCCTCCCAGTACTAAGTGGGTACGAAGTGACAGGTGGTGGATATCCATTCATTCAGTTAGTTGAGTGCCTACTATCTCCTAGTAGCCTGTGGTGAATGCTGCGGATATGGTGGAAAATCAAAGGCTCACTGGATCACCACCACCGTTAGGGCTTTCCATGCATCTAGGTCTGAGTGCCCTCAGCATCCAGCCGGCCCAGACACAGTGAAGACCTGGAGAAGCTCAGTGGCCAGGAACCGAAGCAGAGGACAGGAGGCAGGAGTGGCAGCCAGCCGCAGTACACACACCTCAGGAAAACCAGCCTCTACAGCCAGTTCGAGGACCCGGTTCTGGGTGAAGTCAACCATGCCACATGGGGCACAGGCATGGAGTGGAGCTTGCACAGCCAGACTTGACTTGGGATTGGACTAGGCACACTTACAGTCAGAACTCTAGGGATTCAGGACTGAGATCCCAGGACTGTTGTTTATGTGTGCTACTTTGAGCAAGTTCCCTAACCTTCCTGGAGCTCCCTTTCTTCATCAGTGAAATGGGTTTCTAACAACCCCAGAGACAAGTGCCTGGAAAGCTTCCCCAGCGCAGTTCCAGCATAGATAGAATAACACTCTGAAGAGGAGGCAGTGATCCACGCTGCTTACACTTCGTGGGGTCCACCAGCGTCCCCGGGGTCCCGGCGTCCGCCCATCGTTCCCAAGGGACCCGGTCCTAGTCCATTAAGGGTGCGCCCCGCTTTGATATATTTATTTGCTTGTTTGGGCGGGGCTTGGAGCACAACAAGGAGGAGGCGGCGGCGACGGAGGCGGAGGCGGAGAGCTCAGAGAAAGGGAAGCCACCCGGGGGCATCAGGCTAGCCAGGCGGGGCAGGGGAGGAGTCAAGCCGGGTTCCAGGGGCCGGGCGCAGCGCTGAACGAGAGCCTCGGGCGGCGGAGACAGGGGCGGGGGCGACGCTTGTTGGCCAATGGCGCGCGGCGCTACCGCAAGGGCGGTGCAGGAACCCCGGCCGCTGACAGTCAAAGTCTCCAACTCCGCCCTAGTACCCGCGGGATCCCTGAGCCCGAGCCCGAGCGGGGCCGAGGCCGCCCAAGGCGCGCTGCGAGAGAGCGAATATGGCAGCAGAATGAGGAGCCTGGCGCCGGGTGGTGGCCGCTGCTGCGGGGCTGCAGCTTGCGATTGGCGCCTGGCACACCGCGATCCACATTCTTAGTTGGCCTCCGGGTTATTTCACTCGGCACCAAGGACCGCGGGGAAAAGGAGATCCGCAGCCCAGAGAGGGTGGCGAAAAGGGAGCGCGGACCCGGGAGAGAGATTCTGCGGGGATGAGCCTGGCATGGGGCGGCCTCGGCGGGGCGCACGGAGCCGGCCGGCGCTGCAGCGGGAGCGCTGCATGAACCCGGGCTCCACCGGACTTCGGGGCCTCGTGCGTCCTGGAGGAGTCCCTGCCTCTGTGTCCGGGAAGGACACGATACCTGCGTGGCGGGCACTGCAGCGGTCACGGCGCTGAGACTCTCGGAGCCTACAGGGTCTGCGGTTCGGTGCGCTGTCACGCCGCCGCACGCGGGCGCCTTGCCCGGAGCTCGCAGCCGGGGACTGGCCGGGGAGAGGCGTGCGCCCGAGTGTTCGACTGGAGATCCCGGCAGAAGCCGATCCGGGCGGACTTGAGCAGCCATGCTTCCCGGGGTGGGCGTGTTCGGCACCAGCCTCACGGCCCGTGTCATCATCCCACTGCTGAAAGATGAGGGTTTCGCGGTGAAGGCGCTGTGGGGCCGCACGCAGGAAGAAGCCGAGGAGCTGGCTAAGGAGATGAGTGTCCCTTTCTATACTAGCCGCATCGACGAGGTGCTGCTGCACCAGGATGTAGACTTGGTGTGCATCAACCTGCCGCCGCCGCTCACCAGGCAGATCGCTGTCAAAACCCTGGGTGAGCGACCCCCTCCCCCAGCCCTCTCTTCTTTAGCTTGAATCTTCGCTTCGCGCGCCCTCTCCAATTGCAGAAGCGTACACCCCAGGGATTCCCAAACCATGCATGCTACTCCTGGCTTTCCCATTCCCAGTCCGTGGCCTTTCCCACCTCCACGCTTCGCTCCTTGCACCACCTGGAAGCTCATCCCCACGTGTGTGGTGCGGAGGCTGGGAAAGGCTTGGGTTCCAGGTGTAGGAACCAGGTGGGTCAGATGTAGGGATCTGAAGATGGGCTGCTGTTCGGGACAGGAAACTGTATGTGTTAGTGCTCCTATGTGGGTGCATGCGCGTCTGGGAGAGGCGAGCGCACGGCCAGGAACCCTTGAATAAAGGGCCGCACACGTGGCAAGGGTTTTCCCCCAGTGTACCTGTTGTCTGCAGCTGTGGCACCCTTTTTGGGTCGTTTATTTCCACTGTAAGTGAGGTTAGTGTGAGATTAGAGAAGAGACAGCTGTCTGGAAGCTAGCAAGGAATGACGGTGGAAGTGAGAGTGGGCGGGTCTATTAGAACATTCTCGGATGTGACAGAGGTTAGTAGAGATTGTAATTTAACCTTTGGGCATAGTCTCCCAGGAGTAGGCTTCTACTCCAGTTGGGAATATCATACCTTATATTCTTAGGAGATGAGCATTGTGGTTTCAGAGGCAAGGGTGCTTTGTGTGGAAAAAGGCCAGACGCTGCAATTTCCTTTGGAAACGTGCGATGGCACCTCAGTATTTTGCCTCCGGAATATTCCCAGACGCTGTGTTTACAAGCAGGCTGGGACTCTGCTGTGCTCAGTGGAATGAATGTCTTGAGCAAGTCTGTCCATCAACAGCTCTCTCCCATACCTAAAACAACCCTACCCTGCTACTCCCAGTGGTTAACTCCCTTGGTTGTCAGAGTCTTAATTGGTGAAGAAAGAGAAACAGCTGAACTGGGAGTGTTGCACTATGGTAGGGCACCTGCCTGGTGTGCACAAGGTGTTAGGTTTCATCTCTCAGCACTGGAGAAATGCATACAAGTTTTATTGACAAGACCGACATGAGTTACCTCTCCGGAATGAAGCATCAGAGGTGCTATTAACTGATATACTCTGCAACAGGGGGATAGCCAGGAATTCATGCTTTCTTGACGGCTGCAAGCTTTCTTCTTTTCCTTTCTAAGTGTGTTTGCCAGTGGTTTGGGGTAGTCTGTACTGATGGAAAATATACACATGGCTGCACAGGAGTTAGCTTCCCTGGAAGCCCTATGGGGGTCCTCTTGCTTGTACCTTTGAGGCTGCTCTTGACTGGCTTCACAGTCATGGTTTGTACATACACAACACAGGAAGTGGAAAACCCCACACAGTGCTCAGTCTGACCTTGGCTGTGCCGTTGGAGGGTTTGTACATATTTGTGTTTACCCGCACTTGAAATGAGCCACCCTCCATTGAGTCCTGGTGAATTGTCTTTCTTTTTCCACCCCAGCAAGAGTGATAGACCCGTGCCTCAGTCCATGACATGGCCTGATAAGGAGAGGGCACCAGACAAGTGAGATTAATGGGATCGTGCACATCCTCTTTTGAGTTCCAGAAACTTCTGTAAAGCTCTACCATTACCAGACTTCATGTCACACGTGGTGCTCCAGCAAGCCAGGTTCAACCCCATGTTCTCCATAAGTCAACTAAAACACCCAAATTAGTAATAGAAAAGGAGAGCTATTTAACATTGGGAAGAGGGACAAGAGAGACCCCTCCAAGTCAATTTACAAGGTCTTGAAGTGAGGTTGAGGTTTAGATAAAGGGACAGAATTACACATGGCTTAGCAGTTCCTGCCCAGTTGCAATCTACCCATCATTGTTTTGGCTCCACCCTCCCACCAGGTGGACTGACAAGTTGCAAATCTCTTCCCTTGAGAAAAGTTTTCTGGCTGATCCAGGCTTTATGCTTTCTCTTCTCCCAGCATGGGATTCCTAGGGGGAATTGCAGTTTCTTGGGGGTCCATTGTTTTAATAGTCTGATAGCCAAAATGAGAGCTGTCTCTTTAGAATATCTTGATTCTTTTCAGGCCAGTTACACTGCCTCAGTGGCATAGCTGCTGTAGAGGTATTTCTGCTACACACCACTTGTACATCACTTAGGGCTGCCTATAACTGAGAACCTCTTGTGGGCCAGCCCATGTGGTAAATTGTTGTGTATAAAGCATTTTACTGTGATGAAAACAAGTATGTAAGGTAGACACCTGGCTAATTTTTACAAATGAGGTTACCCAGATTCAGAGAGCTGAGTTTGAGCTACCCATGGCCATAGCTAGGGAGCTGTACCCAGCAGCCAGCCTCTCTAGTTCTTTCTTAAGCCTGCTTCATTACCACAATTCCTTCTGTCAGAAGGACCTTCTGGGGAGGTCCTGTGTTGTTTTCTACCCCAACGCTGGAATTGGTTCCCCACATAGTGTCAGTATCATCTCCTGAATCTTTCTGTCTTTGTTACCCTTTTTGCCCAGTTGCTTCCCACCACAGACACCAAGGTCCTCACCTAATTTCTGACCTTTTCAGCTGCTCCCTGCTGGTTCATCCTTCACAGTGCTTCAAGTAATAGCTCAGAAATGCAGATACTGCTCCGTTGTCCTTGCTTTTAGGAAAAGCCTTAGCTTGATGACATGACAAACAAGAACTGGCCTCTGATGAGCCTGGCCAGCCTTATGCCCTCCCTGCAAGCCATTCAAGAATCCTGTGAGCTTGGGCCATTGAGATGGCTCATTGGGTAGAGGTGTTTGCTATGCAAACCTAGAGACCTGAGTTTGATCCTTGGAAGCCATAAAGAGGTGGAGACAGCGGATTTCATGAGATTGCCCTCTGACTATCATATATGCACTGTAGCATGAGTCTACACACACACACCCACACCCACCCACACACACACCCACCACGTTTAGGGTTATTTGATCACACTGTGACACTCTGAGACTGTGTTAATGAAGTTTAATGTGGATCAGGGGGGCAGAGCCAGCAACCAGTTGACAAGAATTGACCATAGAGATTTTGGAAGATGCAGGATATGATAGAGAGGCACGGGAAGGAATAGGGAGGGGCTTGAAAAGTCCATTTTGATTTGGGAAGTATGGAGAGAAGATCAGCTGGTCGCTCCTCTGCTGCTGTTTGACCTATCACATTCTCAGCCTAATATCTGACCCTTGAGTCATAACGGTAATAGAACAACTTAGATAAACACAACACATAACACACAACACACACACACAAACTCCATGACCCACAGTTGAGCTACTAGTGGGGGTTTCTTGGAGAGACTCTTGGGTCATATGCTCAAGGTTCTGTCCTGTCAGATGCATTACTGTCCCTGCAGTTGGCTTAAGAATTGCAGCCATCAAAACTGATCATCATTGGCACCTTCTGAATTCCGGTTTCTGCTTCTCAACCTCTTCCCCTGGGTACCCATCTAGGCTCTCAGTACCATGAACCTTTGTACTTCCTGGAACCAATTTGAATGTGTTTGTTTAAGATTCAAATTGTATTCAGTTAGTTTAAATAGGTTATATGTTTACATGGTACAAATTTCAAATACTATAAATGTACACAACACAGAGTAAGTGTACCCCATTCTGAGGCAACCAACATCACTACTTTTTTTCAGTGTCTTCTATTCAGTTGGCCCTCCATGTTTGTTCTGCATTTGTGAATTCAACCAACCATGAGTCAAAAATACTCAAAAACCAAAAGAAAGTGTACCTGTCCTGAATAAATACATTAAAAAAAATCATTCACTCCCTAAACAACATAGCAAGACCACTACATGCTATATTTCTATTCTATTATCTACTCTAGGCAGTCTAGAGATGGTGAAAAGCAGGGAAGACTCATGTAGATTACACACAAATGCTAAGCTGTTCTAAGTAAGGGACTTGAACAGCTGTGAACCTTTGTGTACCCATGGGAATTCTGACCCACATACCTGCAGATAAGGGTAATTGAATGCATATGTATGTACATGTAATATATTTATGTTATACACAAATATATATAGTCCATGCACACACATACATATATTTAGAATATGAGTGTATCCTTAGCCATGTCTTGTTGATATAAATTTTCTAGTCTGGCAGGGCCTCACCACCCTGGAGCCCCAAACAAAACACACAGACACTATATTAGTTATAAAACTGTTGGTTGGTGTCTAGAGCTTATTGGCTAGCTCGGTCTTACTTATTAACCTATTTCTATTAATCTATGTATTTCCACATGATCTTGACTTACTGGAGAATGCCTAACATGCCCCCTCTTCCTGGGCTCACATAGAGACTCCACCTGCCTACATTTCCCAGAATTCTCATCTCCTAGTCCTGCCTATCTTCCTGCCTGGCCAATCAGTGTTTTATTTATCAACCAATGAGAGAAACATATATATAAAGGAACATCCCTATCAATGTATTGGGCTATATAGGATTTTATTGTATGGGTGAAATAAAAGTGCGTTTGACCCGTTCCCCATTATTCAATATTTAGGTCGTTTTCTATCTTACACAAACATGGAATGAGTCATCTTGAGGCACTGCCATTTTGTACACACTAATGTATTTGTAGCATAAGTGCACAAACTGAGAGCGGATCAGGGAGCATATTTTCATTTCCTTTGACATGGAGACTGCCAGATGAGCTGGCACCTGACACACTGCATTTTGTCAGTTTCCTTCCCAGCCCTCCTAGCAAGGCCCTGGACTACGGGCGGGCGCCTGCAGGTTTGGTTTCACACTCTTTAGTCCAGACAGGCTAGCAGGTCAGGCCAGTACCACTTCCTAGCTAGCCCTGGGTCATTCAGAACCTGCCAAATCATGATCCTCTTGCAGCAACCCTCTCTCCGTAGGTAGGTAATGTAGCAAGCTGTCTGGCTGCCTGCGTAGGCCCAGTGGATTTTCTGTACCGTGGGAGAGGTGAAGGTGTAGGAGTTTGTACATACATGACACCTGGAAGTGGCATCTCTCA